TTCCCACACTATGGTCTTTGCAGTAGAGGCTCAGGGGCATTCTGTGCCTCTGCACCAGCACCCCACCTATGACCTCCAAGCCTCCAATTCCTAGAAGGATGTAGGCCAACAACACTAAACCCCAATCCACATGGGGAAACTGTGGCACAGGAAAGTACTGTTGTGAGCCCAAGGTCACAGAGCCAGCCAAGGGCAGTGCAAAGAGCAGTGCCAGGTCTCCTGACAGTTGGGGCTGTACTTTAACTATCAGACCAGGCTTCTTCACTAGTTTCTTAAGTAGCTGTTAATTCCTCAGCTGTAGCTAGATGGTACATCAACCTGCACACAGAACTGGACAATGATGCCACAGGGCCCAATTTCAGTTCCATTCTGACCCATATAACTGCTCTCAGGAGATGGTTAAGGAGCTGATCATCGGTGATCTGCTACCACCGGCCTGTGCAGAGTCAATGAGATACCTCTGTGGTATGAGGATAGGAATGTGGATACCATCACGGGATCAGGGCTAAAGTCAAGCAGGGTCTGACACATGAGTGTGTGTCCCAGTGTTCTCCTGAATATATGTAACAGTACTTTCTAAGAACTAACAGTGTCACCTCATTAGCTCCAGAGGGAAAGGGCTGTGTAATCAGAGCTGCAGCAGCTTCATTTGTAGTTAAGTAGAGAGCACTAGCAGAGGGTGGCCAGATTCAAACGACATATAAGCCCACACTGTCTTGATTCCACATAGTGGCATGGGACAGTGGTGTCTAGATACCAAGATTCCCTCCTGGCTCAGAGAAGCAGAGCAGTATCAGCCCCATGTGCTCCAGAATCTGAAGAGCAGAATTAAAACGCGTGGCATCACCTTGCTGTCTCATGAGTAGGAGGGCAGTTTCAGCACCAACAGACTGAATACACTTAGCTTGAGAGGGCCCATGGACACCGATCTGGAGCATGGTGTAGACCCAGCTTGGTCATCACCCCCAGGATGGTACCGACCTGCTGTGGGGAAGGAGGAGCACCATGCTTGCTCTCAGCCTTCAGCAACTGCATTTTGCGATGCAGGTCCTGACTACGGCTCCTTTCCAGTTCCAGCTCTTGCTTGCAAGCCTGCAGTTCAACCCGGAGGAGTGAAGCAATGTCCTGCTGCCATAGTGGGGAAAGAAATGGGTTACACAAAGAACCACCCACACCACCCTGAAAAGCCATGCTTGGAGGGAGACCAGAACACCTGAATCTGAGCAGCACTGCTGGCCCATTTGGAAGGCTACAGTTCCAACCCACTGAGCAGATCACAGGGCTGGGCATAAACAAATGGACACTGAATCCAAGGAAGGTAATAATCACTTTATTTCTCCAGGGCATGGCAAAGCCTGGGGAGCAGAACTGACATGCAGGATTTTTAAATACTTTATGGCTCTTAGGGCCATCTTTTGATTTTATGTTTGCTTTTAGGGTCTACTGCAGCTCAGACATGGAACCTCACTGCTGTACCTTGAGAATTAGAGAGGTTCCAGCTGATAGAATACAGATACATATGGACCAGTAGGTGCTCATGAATAAGGCTTTGGTACATGAATGTCTTAAGATGATGTTTAATGGGGGGGAAGGAGCTATGATGGAGATTAAGGAGCTTTCACACCTAAAAGAGGCTACCATTAAGGAAGAACAAACTTTTTGTGCTCTGAGACATAATAGTGGGATCCCAAAAAGACAGGTGTTATTATGGGTTCAAGAGCATGAATACCCAGAGGGATGTGGCTCACAGAAGTCAGGACCAGCAGGGTCACCTGAACCTCCACTCTCTTCTCCAGGCTAGCACAGGTGCCAACATAAAGATGCAGTGCTGTAGATGGACTAAGAAGGCATCACCAAACTGTATCATAAGGCAGCTCTGCTAACCAGAACCTAAGGAGGGACTCCCCTTGGGTTTTTAGTGAGCAGAGGAGTTCCTACTCCAGGACCTTGAATCTAGCTGAAATGACTCTGGGCCCCTACCACTCCTTGTTGAACTGGGCTCATGGAGAGCCATTCCTACCTGTGACATCCTGATCTCTGCCGCCCTCTCAGATTTTTCATTCTCTACTTGCTTTACGTTGTCACTAGCAAGAAACAAATGCATGGAAACAAGTAGATTGATAGATCTCACTTTCAACATCACTCCCAAGAAGACCGTTATCAAGAAACAAATGCATGGAAACAAGTCGATTGATAGATCTCACTTTCAACATCACTCCCAAGAAGACCATTCAAGAAAGAGATTCATGAAACCAAGAAGGAACCAATAGCACCTTGGTACGCATCCCTCCTGCTTAGACCCAATCCTAGATGACTGTCAAAGTCAAACCAATGGGAGTTCTGCTATCAATTTTCACAGTGCAGGGGCAGGCCCATGATGAGAATTAATATGTCATGCTTAGGAGCTTGGGGTAGCTTGCTTCAGGTGTAATAGAGGTAATATGAAATTTCCCTCCAACCATGGCCCAGGAGATATTTGGTTAAATCTGATAGTCAGGATGTAAATTCATCAACCCCTTTAACATATCAGAGTTATACAGGGAATGAATTTGATCCCTTTGAAAAGATGATGCCCGCATTTCCCATACAGCTCACCCCGTAACATGACACTTATGACCTGGCTGACAGCACTGTTGGATGAAGACCCAAAGACTTCCAATTGTTTTAGCCTCATAGGGTCTTACACAAAAGTGGAAGTTTCAAGCTTTTAGGTGCCTCCAACAGGATGGGGACTAGACTCTTCAGTCAGCATGAAGAAAGAACTGCTCTCTGGTGGCTTCCAGACCAGAAATTTCTTCCACCACCTGCAGGGGTTTCCTAGCCAGTCAGTCTAAGTTCTGTAACATCACATCAGCAGCAAGAACTTACTGGGTTCCCTCGTTCTCTTTGTAAAGGGCATCCTGGTCTGAAGTCTTCTCAGAGCCCAATGCCTGCAGAGACTGGACAAACATGTATGTCTTGTTTATGTACTTTGTTTCAAAGTAACCAGGGGCATTACCTTCCCATACCTCAAATCTGGCATTTTCCCCACCTTAGCAAGCTCCTCTATTGCCCGCAGCTTCTGCCTCACTGGGTTTGTCTGTGGAGATGGAACATGGAGAGCTTTCTCCTCTCTGGCATTATAGGCTCTAGCATAGTGAATCCATAAAGTCTTTTGCATGACTTCCATCTTTGTATTTACCTCCCCCAAACTCACCTGTTACCAGTCTTGCAACTGGCCAGAGCAGTAGCTGGTATTAAAATAAAAGGATTGTAAATGGTACCAAGTCTGATCTATAGATAGTGAAGCTGGCCTAGACAGTCACTGTCCTGTTCCACTGTGACTAAGTCAGATGTTAAATGGGAAGTATGAAATGGGTCAGAACCATGTTTCACCTTGGATTCTGCTCCTCAGTCCAGCCTGTTCTGGTAACTGCCTGTACCTTACATCTCCCGCTCACCCAGCAATATAGCATGTGTCACTGGGATGCAAAGTAGGCAGGGTTGCTTGCTGTCTGAATGACCCGGAACACAAGCTGTTGCATTCAAGGCTTTTTTGGGTAGGGAAGATGAGCGAGAGACACGCACAGAACAACTGACTCTTAGGCAAGGTTCTCCAGCCTGGGCTATGCAGGAGGTCAGATGACACGAATGTAATGGTCCCTTTCCAGCCTTGACAATCGAAAAATCTCTGAGGTCTCCTGGAAGGGCATGGGGCAAAGTATGTATATAGCTGTGCTTACTGCATTTGCAGACGGATCTTGCTGTTGCAGCAGCACCTGGCTGGCCTTGCGATGCTCCTCCAGCTGCCTCAATAAGTCTTTGTTTTCTTCCTTCAAGCTAGGGGAGGAAATGCGTTTATACATTTACGCTACCAGCTGAGATTTTTGCCAGTCCCTGAAGTAACTTGGAAACACAAATCACCCCAGCTTCCACTGGTTCATCTGCTCCTCAGCCACCTTAACCTTCACCAGGATAGGTGTTACCAGATCACTGAGGGGCTTCTGAAAGTCCCACCCTGGAGCACCTGAGCTGTCCCCTCTGAGCCTGGACTTTGTCATCTTTCTTCACATGAAGAGCAGTGGTGTTTGTACCTCCAACTCCCAATTCCCCACTACCCTGCAATTTATGGAGTTGTTTATACCTGTGCAAAGGGAGGGAAGAGAGTGTGTGTTGCCATATTAGATGGGTGATTGACATCCATGCTGGGCTGGTGTGATGACTGCACTGCGGTGCCAGGCAGCAGGCAGACAACCAGCCCTTTTGGACACAGACGCCACAACCTTCTAATGCTTGGGAGATGATACAATGGTGGGCCAGAACCTCCCACACACCCATGCAGAGGGTGGGGTGTGTATAACCCAGCACCTTCCCTTCCCTGCACAATCTAAGATATTGCACAAGTCACATAGGCACACAGACTCCTTCCCATTTTTGGCAGCATAGTGCCAATGTCAGCTCCCAATCCCATGACTGCTGTCTGATGTAGGATCTAGCACATGTACATGGGGACACAGTGCTACAGCACTGGGAGTGAAAATGTTCCTCTCTCTACCTGTGCATGGCACCTTTCAGCTCAGACAACTCCTCTGCATCCGCCTCAAGCATCTCACTGTCCTGCAGGATCTTGGCATACTGCAAGGCACAAGAGGAGAGGAGTTATGTTTTGTAAGCAATCTTACAACCCCTTGGCTAGTGCGTGGATCACCAGTGGAGGATCTGCTACATCAGGCCTCCTTGACTCTGATTTTTCAGCTCCCTGGAACTGGTTGGACAATTTAGGAAATCTTTCTATTTTGCTGAAAAATGGGCAGGGAGGGGCGGGGGAGAGGGGTGAAAGTCACAATTGTTCTGTTCCTCTCTCACCCAGTTCGATGTTTGTTTAAGGAGCATCTCATCTCACTTTGATATGCTGGTGCTGGGCATCTTAGTGTCCAACATATATGAGCCAGCAGTGAGTCCTTGTTGCAAAGGCTAACAGCATACTGGGCTGCATTTGTAGGAGCATTGCCAGTAGATCAAGGGAAGTGATTATTCCCTTCTATTCTGCACCGGTGAGGCCACATCTGGAGTAGTGTGTCCAGTTTTGGGTCCTCCACTACAGAAAGGATGTCAGCAAACTGAAGAGAGTCCAGGAGAAAGCAGTGAAAATGGTTAGGGGGCTGGGGAACATAACTTATAAGGAAATGCCTGATGAAGGATGCCTGTGCCCGAAAGCTTGCAAATAAAGATTTCATTTTTTTTGCAAAAATCTAGTTGGTCTAATAAAAGATATCACCTCTGCCATGAGTTTTGATCCCTTTTGCCTCTAGACCAATATGGCTACAACCTGGATACTTCACCCCACAGAGGCAGTTGTCCCAGGGTACAGATGTAGGCACACTGCTGGGGCAGCCTGGGCCCAGTTTCTCACCACTACTGCACTAACTTAACTCAGCAAGGAAAACCAGGTGGCCAGTCTCCAGGGCTGTCAGCCTCTGCTTGGCATCTGCTCCCAGGTCCTTTGCTTTGCCACTGAGGCCTATCCTTTGTCTCTGAGCATTTGCCCTACTCCCACTCCATAGTCAGTCTGGGCTGCCTTGGGGCTCTGCCCCAGTGAGCAAAAGAAGCTGGCAGGTTCTTCAGCACTCAAGCCCATATCAGGGGAGAAGTCTAATACCAGCCTATGTCTCTGCTCCCCTTGACTGTAAACCTCCAGGGGCCTAATTAATGCCTGGCAACTCCCCCCACCTCCACCTGCTCAAGAAATACCACAAAGCTCTGCACTTCCCAGTTTCCTGTAGCAACAAGATAAGAGTGTGGGGTGGGGGAGGCAAAGGGGTTATGATGCATGTAGGGATGGGTGGGCAGGGAATTTAGCCATTACAAACCAGTGCAACCAATCAGAGGGATTTACAGGCACTGGCTGATGAGCCTTCCCAATGCCTCCAGGCACCTGGCTTTGCTGTACAGACAGGTAAACTGGCACAGGGAGGGGAAGAGATGGGATATAGTTACACAGTGACTTGGTGGTACAGCTTATGAGAACCCAGGAGTTCCTGGGCTGGTCAGTCTACTGGAAGGACACATGGTAAAAGGGAGAAAGAAGATGGGTGGGCATGGTGATGGTGGGGAGGGAGAGCAGGACAGGGCAATGGTGAGGCTGCCAGGCTGGGCAGGAGGGCAGCAGCCAGCCTGGGGCTCATAGGCCATGTCACACCTTGGCAGACAGGCTCTGCTGCTCATGGTGTGCGTGCTCTAGTTCCTCCTCTTTAGTCTTCAGGGCCACGGCCACCTGGTGCCACCTGTCCTTCCAGTGCTGGGCAACCTGTTGCTGCTCTGTCAGCTGGCAGCCTATCTCCTCCCTCTTGTGCTGCAGGGCAGCCTCCAGCTCCTCACAGCGAGCCTGCAGCATCTCCTTCTCCCTCTGCAGCAGGGACTGTGAGATCCTGATAAATGACAGGAGCACTGAAGAGCCAGGAACATCTAAGGCACCTGCCATCCTCCCCAGGGACCTCCTCCCTCCACGCTGTCTCTGCACCTCCTCCATCTTACCTCAGCCCCATCAGAGAGGAAACCTCCCCCACTGCAACTCCTGGTGCCTGGGACTGCCTCCTGTGCTAAATCCAAACTGGAAACCACTCTCTCCTTCTGTTAGTAGCCCAGTGACCCAAGCTGCTAATTCCTCACCCCATCAGTGTCTCCTCCAGAACTGGTACCACATGTTGCTACCAAGGATCACATAATATTGTTCAGCGTTGGAGCATAGCCTTTGTGAATAGGGCTGGGCAGCACACAGTGGGACTGGGTTGGACTCCAACAACAGGAAGCCAGTTCATTTGATGTGCATCACGTAGACTGGAGGAAACCCTTATCCTTCCCATCCCCTTGCCCTTCTTTGCCCATAAAGCCCCCAACTCTGGAGACTAGAGATGCATCATGAGGTTTTCAGCTGGAGGATACACACTCTTCCCCCAGCCTCAGTCTCCTTCCCCACTCAGGTACCTGAGCTCTTTGCAGGTCTCCTGAAGAGCCTGCATGTCCTCTCCCTGGCCTCTAGCATCCTGCTGCTCCCTTAGCAGTTGGGTGCGCTCCATCTCCAGAGCCTGGATCTGGTTGGTGAGAATCTTCTTCTCAGCCTCCAACTGATGGAGCTGATCCAGGGAAGTTTCCAGCCTCTGCTGGCTCTGACCCAGCTCAGAGGACAGCATCTCATTCTCCTGAAAGAAGAAGTCCATGAGATAATGCTCTATGTACACAGCTCTCATCCCCAAACCAGCCATCACACTGAGACCTGAATTCAACACAGTGATGTCCACCCAGCACAAGAGAAATGGCTGAATGTAATGAGAAGGCATGGGGCAGGAATACAACACAAGCTTGCACCAAGTGACCTACCAAAGCAGGCTGACCAGGGGACTTACACAGACATGAGGTCAGCCCTGTCCCTCCCAGAACAGGAGTATTAAAGAGCCAGGAACATCCAAAGCACCTACCATCCTCCCCAGGGACCTCCTCCCTCCACACTGTCTTTGCACCTCTTCCATCACACCTCAGCCCCATCAGAGAGGAGACCTTCCCCTCTGCAGCTCCTGGTGCCTGGGGCAGTGGAAGGTTTTCTTTGTGTTACAACTCCCAGGAGATTTTCCATGTGCTCTAAATAGAGCCTGAGAGATTCATACCAGTTCCTTGCAAGGCCTGATATGGGTACCAATGAAGTGAGGACAAGGACATCACCAGCCAGAGATGATGGCAAGGGGACTGTGGGTCTCTGGCTCTGGAAATGTCTCTGCTAACTCACAAAACTGTTAGAGAGGAAAAGGTCTACAGACCTCCCTTGGGGGCAGTGATGAGCACCAGCTTTGGCCAATACTCTACCTTGGTTGGGCACTGGTAGTGTGGTAGGGGAAGTGGTCAGGAATATAAATCAAACAGTTAAAGGGAAAGTAAGGTCTTAGGAAACCACTGGATTAAAGCAGATTGTCCCTGCTCTTACTAGGCTGGGTCCCCTGTGCCCCTATCTCCCAGAGGAGGGTTGGCTCTGAAAGCAACAGTGACAGAGAAGAGGGGCCAGCCCAGAGTCAGCAGCACCGGGTGATGCCCACGGAGTCCATTCATCACTCCAAGAGTTACCTGTTGGATGGTCTCCAACTCCTCTTTCATCCGGACCTTCTCTTGGTCCTGGCGGTTGGCCTGGGCTTTAGTGCTCACCAGCTCCACATGAAGGTCTGACACTTGGTCATTAAACCCCTCTTGGCTCCTCTGTGCATGTTCCAGCTGCAGGGTGAGTGCCTGCACCTGCTGATGCAGCTCCACCTTCTCCTAGAAGCCAAGGAGCACATGACAACTCAAAATCCTAGCCTGTCTCCCCTCCATCCAGCTGCTATTCAGGCCATGTTGACACCCATGGTATCTATGCTCTTCCTTCTCCCACCACATTGCTCCTCTCCTGTGCCCCACTTCCCATCTTCATCACCATTCTTCCACCTTTTTCGTCCCCAAGTGCCTTCTTTGTACCTTCAGGAGTCTGTTCCTGTCAGACAAGGCAGGCTTTAGCTTCATTGTCAGCTCAGACACTCCCTCCTCCAGCCTGACTACCTTGGAAGACAGCAGCTCCTTCTCCTGCATAGTAATATATATGACACACTGGGGTGGGAAAAACACATTGGCCTCTCTGAAGAGGTTCATGGACTCAGTGGCCTCTATTGCTACCCAGTGCCCACCTTACAAAACTTCAGAGCAGGCAATCAAAATGTGGACCACCTTCTCCATTCTCACAGCCATTAATCCCAAGAAGAAGTTTTCTTTAGCTTTCAGGAGTAGAGCTAAGTGAGTATTTCCCAGAGGGTAGTCAACTGGCCAAAAATGTAGTTTCAGAGTGGTCAAAACTATTTCCAATTATTTCAAGGCTACTTTGGCAAAACAGCTCTACTAGGGAGGGGTGGGGGGGGAGAGAAAAGAAAGTATTTCAGAAAAGATAAAACATTTTTCTTCTTGCAACATTTTCTATGTGAAATGCTGCAACTTTTCATTTCAAAAGGACATCTTTGCTTGGAAACTGACCTAAGTTCTTTTTTAAAAGTGTATAAAAAGGCTAAATAACATGAAAACAAAAAAAACTTGATTCAATTTGGGGCAAAAAAATGTTTCTTCTGTCTACCCAATATAATGTATAACCAAATGTTTCGTGTCCTGTCTTGGCAAGAAAGGATGAAGAGGTATTGAATGCAATTTACATGGGGTTTATATACTGATGTAAACTATACCAGGATCCAGAATCTCACTGGTATCTCAAGGTAGTTTACACAGTAGGTACCTATTATGATACCTTGTCATTAGGTAGCATATGAGCAGGTAAGAACAAACTGCTAAGCCACAATGGTTGCAGACAGGCTAAACATAGTAGCAGTAACATACAGCAGTAGAATGAGCCCTGATTCTTTAATGGCTAGTTCTCTATTTGCTTGCTCAAAGTCACCATGCTTTGCAGGTATGTGTATCTGTTCACTGCTTTCTTGCACCAGTGTAATGCTGATTAAACTAATATA